TACCTTTACGAGAAGTCTGTATAGAGCGTTGTTGTCGCGGCATTGTGGTGGTTGTGCAGAGCGTCGCGTCAGGTTAGGTGGGGTGGGCCACTTACTGGTGTGGGCCGCTTACTGGTGGTGCACGTTACGGATCTTAGCGATGACAAAGCAGGAATGACATAAGTGGCAGTGTCAAAAGCATCGCTCAGACATATGAACAGCCTCGAGTTGGCCTCGCCAACCCAGCCAAGACATTCTTGACTTCCACTCCTCCGCACTATTTCCGAATCTGGTAACCTTTCAGCCCGCCTTATTACTTTCAGTGTCTCCACTACAAGTTCTTTTGCGGTAGTTAGAAAACAAGCTTCCACCAACCAACGAACTAGCCGAGGACATGTGCCGCTAGCTCGGACATAACTGCGGAGTACGCACTTTCAACGCCTGATCGGCTTCGCAACCTAGAGTAGTGTGCGTCTAGGCTACCTAGGCTTATCGATTTAGCATCACGAACTCAAAAGAAGCGTGGATGGTGGCGATAGAGCAAAGTTAGACAGCGGAATAATTTTCGATGCTGCGTGCGATAACATCGCCGGTATGACTGCAACTATTGTTGTTTTCCATGTTGCAATACAGAACGCGAAAGAGATGTGGCCAAAGAACAAGGGCACTTCAACTACAGACCTGGAAATGGTAGTGAGTAAAGCGGAGTTGTCTGCATGATTGATCCTTCTCGCTGACGTGCAGTTCTAGTTCTCGCTTACGGACATTGACGTGGTCACATGTCATTGTGAAGCATACGCCAGCGCTTCTCAGGGCATCTCCAACTACCTGAAGCCATCAACACGATGTTCCATTATCCCCCGAATATGTACGGCGTCTCCGTAATACACAATTATGCCCACTACCATGACCCACTCGCGGGCTCCACTTCGATCTGGGTACTGTACCCCCGACGATGGATCACCAAACCTATGCTCAGACACGTTAGCTTGGATCCTTCTGGAATCTCCTCTAAATCCCTTACGGCTTCACGGCCCGTGCTTGCACTCGATTTGGAAGTAGGGAGGCCCTACGATCGCAAAAAAAAAAGCAAAAGCTGGCTGCTTCACATTACTCAATCCCAACGAGAGCCGCATCAGCCAAGGGCGGGAACTCGCACAGATGGAAGCACGTTGCGATCGAGAACTTCAGCCACGTGCAATCGAAGACAGCTGGGAGCCTTCTCCAGCCAAGGGGGCGAACTCCTAAGCCGCCTTTCAGCAGTTGCTTGTGTAGGAGCGTGGGGATTTTCCCAGGTCGGGATTCAAACCACGCAGCAGGCATGCCACGAGCAAGCCACGTTGAAGGCAGTGTCCGGCCCAGGCTTGCGCGACAGCGGAGAGAATGAACGCCATCATACACGAGGAGCCTACACATGGGGTCCAGACCATGAGAGAAATTCGAATTCTTTTCCTGGAGCACCCATCACCACGTTTGCACGTAAAAGTATCAAGTGGCGTAGAAAGAGCTGAGTGAGGGTGACTGAATGCATATATCTGTGTTTTCTGTGTACTGCTTAATGCCTCAGAAGCTTCTTGCATCTCACCTCAACTTCTTATCACTGATCCAAAGCTTGTGTTTACAAGTATTTTTATCCTTGGCAAGTCGTCACGAAGGCTTTACCTGAACTACCTGTCAATCGCTCTAGGTTTTGCAATGGCCTTACACTTGCTACCCGAAAACCACTGGCTATCTTCTCGTTCTACCATCGGCATAGTATCTGAAGATGCCACAGAAAGCACAGAAACTGGTAATGAGAAAGTTCGTGACAAGCTATTCGCTTGTCCGTATCTAAAGCGTGATCCATGCGAATACGCAGGGAGACAGTCATGTTCCAAGTCAGGATGGACGTCAATTCACGGTGTCAGGTAAACCATCATCTCCATACCCTGTGGTCAGACTGACCGTATGTCTAGACAACATGTTTATCGCTGCCATATTCTGCCCATCAAGTGCCCAAGCTGCTCGCAGACTTTCGAATCTAGCCGAACCTTCACGCGCCACTTACATGAGGCATCACATTGTGACCACAGTCTTGTTGAGGCCGATGAGCCGATCAAAGGACTCGAGAGTCTTTTACAGAAGATTCGATCGCCAAAGACCACGACGGACTGTCCCTCGGAGGAGGACATGTGGAGGGTCATATATACCACTTGCTTTCCCAACGATCCTAAAGATGACACACCCTGTCCATACCATGAGAAGGATCAAGAAACAATCTACGCTATCTCGCCGAACGAATCCGTCGTATCGATCCCTTCTGCTGTGCCCTTCGTCCGTACGCCCGAATCAGCATATTTTGGCAACAGTCATCGAGGATATTTTGAAGCCATCAACAAAACATCAAGTTCCATCGCTTCAAGTCTTGCCGGTCGAAACTGCACTCCGCCTACATCGATTGTAAGCGGACACAGTCAAGACTCGCACGCTGATGGCGACGCAAACGATGGATCCTTGGCTGATTCAATCGGAGAAGAGGCCCCGACTATTCACCGGCCTCCCCAAGCTTTCCAGGCTCGGCAGCAGTCACAATTTTCCGATAGTTCCCAAAGCTTCGATAAACGCAAGCTCAAAAAGAAGCTGCGTAACAAGACTATGGAATCTCAAGTTCTTGAATTTCGAGCTTGGGCAAAGCCCCATCGAACAGACGAGCATATAACTCCCGGACTCTATCGCGGATTCTGGAAATGGTTTGCGCGCTGCTTGACTTTCTACATTCCTTCTTGGTTTCTCAAAAGATATCTCAAGATGGACGACCTTCGGCAACGTCTGGCCTTCCGACAAAAGGTGTTCTTCTGCCTCCTGCTTGCCGCCATCTACGCACTTCTATGCTACTTTCTCATCATCCAACCCATGGCCAGCTGCATTCTGAAAGTGCACATCGGTATGATTTCGAATCACAGTCCCTTCTGCAGCATGGTCAGCAACATTGTTTACGTCTATATGGGTCTAGGCGGCGGATTTATGCTCCTGGTCATGTTCTGCGTTGCTCGTGTTCGCTATACCAGCCGTTCTTTCGAAGAACATGACGCCCTGCTGGTGATGCAAATTCCCTGTTACAACGAGGACGAATCCACTCTTCGGAAAACGATTGAATCATGCGTCCAGTCAAGTTATGAGAAAAAGCGCAAGCTTCTTTTCATTGTCGCAGATGGAACTGTTGCAGCTGCTGGCCAGAAGCCAACCTACAGAATCTTGTTAGAAGACATTTTCGACCACAGTGCAGACCTGGAGATTGGTATCGAGAATCAAGCACACTCGTACACATCGTTCGACGGGGATGGCGCTTCGGAGAATCGAGCTTTCACCTGTACTGGCCACTACCGAGGAGTACCCTACGTCATTGTGGTCAAGGTTGGGAGAGCCGATGAAAGAGACAGCCCGAAGCCTGGAAACAGAGGAAAACGCGATTCCCAGCTCGTGGCCTACAACTTCTTCCACTACGTCAATTACCGCAGGTTCTGGAACCCACTTTTCGAAAACCTTGAGTTTCAGATGCGAGTCTGCCTCAACATGGATGCTCGCGATGCTATGTATATGCTGGCCATCGATTGTGACACCGAGGTTGATCGAACAGGGATATCGTACCTTGTGGACCGACTTCAAAAAGACCACAAGCTCGTCGGAGTATGCGGCTACACAGGAGTGGGCAACGGTATGAGCAGTTTCGTCGCCAGCGCCCAGGTTTTTGAGTACTGGCTTACTCATGCCGTCTTGAAAGCAGTGGAGAGCGTATGCTCTAGTGTCTTTGTCCTCAGTGGATGCTTCACCATCTACCGACTAAAGTGGCCAAACAACAGACCAGCGCTTCTGCATCCACTTCTCCTGGAAGACTATGCAGGAAGCCACGAGAAGACCTTGCACGAACACAACTTGTTTTCCATTGGCGAGGACCGTTATTTGTCAACTCTGGCGATCCGCTATTTCGTATCTGATTGTCGACTTGAATATTTCTCCGCTGCAACATGCACAACCATGGTTCCTGACAAGCTATCCGTGCTCCTGGATCAGCGACGACGATGGACAAACTCCCTGATCCACTGTCACTTTGCTCATCTCAACGTCCTTCCCTTCGAGGCATCATTCTGGACTCAAGTCAAGCTACTTTTCGTCCTTGGTGCAGAACTCTTCATGGTGTTCATCCTGCCACTCGCACTGCCGGCTGGAGTCGCCCTTGCAGTGATTTCAGTGTTACTGACACCATATGCTTGGATAATATTGATTGTGTTCTTGCTTTTACCTGTGTTGTTATGTGTTCTCTGCATGGATTGGACATACATTCCTGCCTATCTCCCATTCTTTCCTATGATCGGCGTCTTTAGTATCATCATACCTATATTCTCGATGTGGAATCAAGATAACATAAAATGGGGTAAAACGCGTGGTGGGTAATGGTACCCAATTAGCACGATATCTCGTTTTTGCATTATTCATGTTAATTAGGAAGCCCAATTATTTTCAATCAATCGATGCTAGTCTTCCAACATTATAGACAAGTCTGTACGTTAGATGTGTCAACTGACCTTGAGCGAAATGCTGTGGAAATTACGGTATAATGATCACTATGAAATGATAGCCGTCTGTGTCATGTGAACGGGATCCCTTAGCATGCGGTTTTGGTATTAGGCAACGATAACTCAGAGTTGACAGTTACCATTGTTGAGACCGCCACCAATATCGTACTAAGGCAGCCTAGCCTCGGCTCTTACGGTCCGATCAGCCAAACACGAAGGATTGGGATGAGACCACGAAGTTGCTTTTACGAGACCTGCAAGCCGCACACGTCGGAGATGCTATGCTGCAGGAGCCTAAAATACTTGGCCTCTCCACAACAAGGCTCGTTTATCAAAAGCGAATCGTCACTTTTGGTACTGCCGAGGCTTTCTGGTCAACTACGATCTCCGCGGGTCTAATTATTACTCCTCTGCAACTGAGCATTCTGTTATACTGTGTCATCCATTATAATACGTTCTTCGTTCGGGTACATTACCCACTAGACCCGCTTTATCCCGACAGCTAGTCGCCCTGCGAGTACGCAAGTTGAGAGCAACTCCGCTAGCTCAGGCCTCCAGCTGTTGCGCTCTGTCGTGTGAAATACACCCAAGATGGACTCCGACTTGTATCCTCATAGAGGCTTCATGCTAGACACGGGTCGGAAGTTTTTTCCTGTTGAGACTATCCTCGATCTGTTGACTGTACTTCAGCAATACAACTTCAACGTCTTCCACTGGCATATATACGACGCAGAAAGCTTCCCCTTGCATTGGCCGGCAGATCGTAGTTTGACGGACACGAGCATAGAGCACAGCCATACTTCGAAATACTATACTTCCGAGGACATTCAGAGTGTGATTTCTCATGCACAACGACTGGGTATTCTTGTCTATCCGGAGACAGACATGCCTGGGCATAGTGACATATGGTACGTTATCCAATCACCCATCCAAAGTTCTCCATCACGAGCTCTGACGACAACATTCTAGGGGTTTGTGGAAAGAAAATTTGGTAATAGGCACGCCAGATCTGAAACAACCGACGGCCCAACTGGATATCAGGCAGCGCCAAACATACGAACATATAACCAATCTGGTCTCAACGGTTGACAAATACTTTGGGTCTCCCCTGCATCACTTTGGCGGCGACGAAGTGGCATATATCTGGCAAACCGAAGACGACAACAAATTGTTCGAGACATTTCTGCACTGGCTCCAAAGCCTTGAACCAAAGAAAACGCTAATTCTATGGGACGATCCCCTCACCGACGAAGGAAAGAATATAGACATATCGAAAGAGTGGATCATACAAACCTGGCATAACGGTGCTACTCAACAGGTGCTCAACAAGGGCCACCGAGTCATCGTCTCTGAATCTGATACATTCTACGTTGGAAATGCAGACGGCGACAAGATATCCTCCTTTGTATTTCCAGATCATGGCAATGTCCTGGGTTTTGAACTTGTCTGGTTTACTTCCGAGGGAGATGATCCAAACGACTTCCGTCAAAGTTGGGTCATGGATCCGATTAAAGCTGCGTCACAAATTCGAAGGACATCGGAACAAGCATAAGGCTTGATCGCAGGTAATTTATCGGGTTACAGCATGACATGCAAGCAATGATGCCATAGTATGTCTCCACGTAATACACCTTATTAGTGCTATAACGAGCACCGATGAGGGTTTCTCTCTCTCGAACAGCAGATGCTCACAGTTTTTAAAAGGGTTTTGTTATAAATAGGTAGCAATAGCAACGGATCAGATCGGTGCGGTGACAAAACCTATCAGAGGCTGTCAGAATTGAATGGCACCATCGAATAAGCAGACATACAGGATGAACGAGTTGAGTATTCACAGGACGAATGCGGATGGTCGGAACAGAGGCGCATGGATTGGGTTAAAGGGCCTATTTTGTGGCGTCTTCCTGGTCGCACTTGGCTACCTGTGTACCTCTAGCCTAACCACAGCAAGGAGTTTGATACCAAATACCCATTCCCCATTCTGCCCAATCGGGCTAAACGAGAAGCAAGGCTGCTCCAGCCACCTCGGCTAGAAACACGTATCGAATACCACGGAAGCATTGATCTCATCCAAACATGTCGGAGAAGTGTTTGCTTCCTGGTTCACCAATTCTCTTTCAGAACTCGTGGACTCAAATCAAGGACTTACTGGTAGGGAAGCCGGCTTCAAAAGCTAGAAGCCTCCACTACTATCTTCTGAAGGCGATGCAGCCGGTGGTTATGTCTCAAGAGGGGGGAGATGATCTGTACATGGTGAGGGCGATTGATGGTCATGTCGTGTTCTGTTCGCGCATTCCTCGGTGGACTGACGATTCTCGTATGTACACCGTTACATCCAAAATAGTGGGAGTTGGAGTGCTGGGCACAATGTTAAAACGCCCGTCTTTGATTTGTTGTGGCTTACTAACTGGTATAGATTTGCGACGATATATCTCACGATTTTCATAGCTGGGCTTACTGCGTTTGTCTTCTGCTCCTACTGAGTTTACCATTATAGCGACTTGGTTCTTGATATTGATGGGTACGAGGAACAGGACAGGGATATTCCATTTGGTTCAAATTCGTTCGAGTGGCCGAGGAAGGAGCAACATATAGGTAGGGCTCCTTCGGACTTCCCTAGCTACCCGCATGCTTTTGGATTACCCGAGAGAATATTTTATAGCAGGCCGCTACTACATAAACAAAAAGCCCTGTCGAACCAGGAGACATACTGGTTAGGTTAACCCTAGAAAATCATCATGTAATCGGCGTGAAGAATACAGGCCCATTGTGGAAATCTCCTATAGTAAAAAGACTTTTGCCATCTACTCCTTCATTCTGAGCATATCAAAGCAAGGAACAAAAAATTCACATGTCAAGAACTTAGATTTATATCAACGTGCTGGCAGGCACCTCCCCATTCTCCTCAACCTTCCTCTTCTTCTTCCCATGATGTCCTCGAGCCTCCACTCTACCCTCCACCGGTAACACTCTTGTAGCAGTGAACAAATATCCCTCCGCTCCACCCTTACTCGTCATCATAGGATGCGTCCTGCCTGGAAGAACCTGCCACTGTCTCGCACGTGCCGTCTGCAGCGAGGGCGCAAGCAGCAGGGTAGGATTGACCGGGAAGTCTTCTTCTTCGTTATTGCCACCTTCCGGTGTACTAGCAGTTGTATCGACATGCTCTTCTCCCCTGCGATTCTTGTTTCCGTTGGTCTGTGTCGTAGTTGGCGGCGGTCCGAATTCGCGTGCTATGTACGCCGCCCTCCGTTCCTTGGAGTAGAGATCGCAGAGTTCGACGAGGGGTTCGACGTTGGGGTTGTACACAACGACTCTGCCTCCTCCCCTGACCAAGGGAACGAGTTCCTTGAGTACAGTCTTTGCGTCCATGGCCGTAGCTACGACTAACCCGTCAAAGCCACCCCGTCTAGTCTCATCTACGACACCCTTTACCCTCTCCCACCTCCTCCTCTTCTTGTAGTACGTGCCCCGTTTCGTACTCTTCATGCCAGCCAGCACCTCTTCAGAGATTACCTCGGGCTCGTCGTATGTGGGGTCGTCTTCTGGGTGGAGGAGCGCGAGCCAGGATATGGACTTTAGGTGTTTGTAGAGTGGGTGCTCGGGGGTTGGAGCGCCGTAGTCGTAGCCAAAGTATTTGAGGTAGGAAAGGTTCGGTTGGTTGTTCGGGTGGAGAACAGTGAGAGTATTGGTTTGCGCGGACATCTGGGGGATGTGTGGGCGGGGGGGTTTTCGGGGACGCGCAGGAGGATCTGAAGGGTCGGCGTCAGGCATGGCGGTATCTGTGTCCTTTGCTTCTGGGGCGTCGTTCGTCGCTGTCTCTGTCGCTGCCGTACCATTCATCTCGACATCTTCGGCCTCGTCTTCCGAGTCTTCATCTTCTTCCTCGGGGTAGAGGATGCCCATCTTCTCTGCGAGCGCTGCCGTAACGAGACCTCCTGTATCGTCTACCACGAGCCATCGCCCTCCTCCTATCTGGCTGACACCGTCTTCTCCCGTGAGAATCTGGTTGGTGGCTCCCGAGTGTACGTTCGCCCAGCTGTTGATCAATCCCAGTAGATCTTCCCTCAGCTCCATAATCTTGTATGCCTCCTTCTCCAGCACATATTCTGTAAGCAGCCCGATATCCATGGGCAGCGCCGTGAAGCGCTTCATGTACTTCTTCGACTTCCTTAGCGTGTACTTGGCGAGCGAGAAGCTCGTCTTCTCGTCAATCGCATTGTGGGAGGCCATGATCTTGGCGATGATGTCCTTGCCGGAACCTGTGCCTGCTTTCTTCAGCTCCTCAATCTCAGCCATGGACAGCGCCTGGCGCGACGCATCATCGACAGTCAGGCGGTTGTTCCGCATTATGACCTGCCCATCTTCCCCAACAATGTCGAAACCGGCAGCGCCCTCGGCATTCTCATCGCCGGTCTCGGCAGCTGGCGCATGGTCTTCGCCTAGAGCTTCAGCATGGAGTTCGGAGGCGGGTACGACGCGCAGCTCCGTCTTGGACTTGCCATCGTCCTTGTCGAGGAGTTCGTAGGTGAGGTAGTATGGCCGGCCGAGGAGCAGGTTCGAGTTGAAGGTGCCGAATTTCCCAAGATTGATGTTACTGGGAGGCGGTCAGAAGGAGCTGCAAGATGGGCATACGAAGGAGTATGTAGGGGGCTCACGCCAGCTATGCGACGTACGTATTCGGTGTGATCTCGACTATCTTGAAAAGGCCGGAGGGCAGTCGCAAGGCGACGTGCGTGTTTGGGCGGACGCAGGAATGCATGGCGAACTTGGTCGCGGCTGTCAAGTCTCACTATACCATGTGCGACAACGACTGTGTGTGTCGTTATGGATCTCTTGACACTAGAGTCCCAAGGTTGCTCGGTTGGCGCAAATCGCGAGGTGAGTTGAGCTAGTGAATTTGTTGCAAGGAATAATTCCGAGCCGCAACGCCACGCTTCAAGCACAGCCACAGGCCCCAGCCACATCGTACGTCATCTTCTTCCGCTTGTACGCGACTTCCGCATATCCAATACCCTGGCCGCGTATGCTACTCGGGTCTACTACGTCGCCTGCATTGCTTCTTGCCCAGAAGCCCTACTCTGCTATCAATTCCCCTTCAACCGCGTCTTCTACAACCCTCGCAGCCCGCGCTGCGCCAACTACCGCGTAAGCTTCACCACATAGACTGCATCGAGCCTGCGCCAGCACCGCCAAACATGGTGCTTCGAAAGTCCAACGACCCCGACGACGTCGTGCCAGCGCCGCTCTCTAAAGCGATACCCCCGTACCCCACAACACCTTCCGACGAGCATCCGCCTGCCTTTCCCGTATCTCCAGACCATGCCGCCGACCCACCCGGTACGAGCAAGTCGCCAGCCTTCAACATCAAGACGCCAGAAGAGACCCGTCTGCCTGACGACAAACACAACAGCGACTCCGACTTTAGCGAAGACGAGTGGAACCAGTCCGACGACGACGACTTTGAAGATGTCAATCACAACGACGTGCCTGCCGCGTTGAAGCCGGCTGCAGGCAAGAGGCCTCCTGTGCCCTCGACCGCACACATCAGCGGTGACCTTCCAGATGCCTTGAAGCCAGGGCCACCAGCCGGAATACCCATCAAACGCTCGCAGGAGAACATTTCGCCCATGCCCACCGGTGCCAGTGCGGCCTCATACAATGGTAGCACCGTGTCCGAGCAATCAAACGGATCCATCCCGCTGAAGACTAACAACCCATATCTCAAGATGCAGACAACCGGGCAAAGCGGGTGGGGCGATGAGAGCAGCGACGCCATCTGGGGTGATGCGCCGAGCCAGGCACACAAGTACGAGGCACCTGTAGAGCTGCCGGCGTTCCAAACGCCAAGTACACCTTCCCATGAGATGAAGAATCTAGGACTAGATGATCATCCCCCGCCTGCTCAGTCGAAGCCTGTAGAAGAGCCGCCCGTGATTGCGGTGAACTCGCCCACGCCTCGCTCGGAACATCCAGAGGCGTCTTTCGATACAAATCCATGGGAGCCCGTCTCGCACGATGGTCGTGCTGAGACTGTAGCATGGACGGCGCCGCCACCGCCAGCAGGTTTCTCGGATACAAGCTCGCATACTGCGCCAGTACCAACAGGTAATGCGGCCGCTAATGCTACAAGCTCGTACACTGCGCCAGCACCCATCGTTCCTGAGAATACGCATGTCATAGATTCAACACCTCCTCCACCACACTACACTCCGGACGAGACACGAACTACCCTGGAAGAACCTCCGCCAGCTCTGCCACCACGTAGATCACATGAAGATATGACGCCTGCCATGCCACCCAGGCCCATTGATACAGGTGCGAGTTCTACAGCTGCGCCAGGCCCAGAGTCGCCAAACACTCGGATGGAGAGGCAGCGGAAAGAACACTACCAAATCAAGCACATCCGTTGGCTCGACAACAATACCGAGGACATGCGTATTTCGCCCATTCTGACGCAGAACCTCAACGGTCCATGTCCTTTGCTTGCTCTCGTCAATGCACTGGTCCTCTCTACCCCCGCCAGACTCGACACCGCTCTCGTCGAAACAC